GAAAGGTGTGGCGGGTGCAGCGCAGGTGGCGCGTGAACCATCCGTCGTATGTGCCGTCGGTCTTGACTTGCTGCCACGTGGTACTGGGTACGGTGTTGATGGCAGGGGCGCGGTTGCTACGTTCGTCGATCGAAAGGCGGCGCCAACGACAGCAACTCACGCTACAGTGGTCGAGTCCATCATGTCAAATTGAAAAGTTGGAATGGGATTGGGATCAATGATTGGATAGTGGGCATCCATTATTAGCCAGTCATTGGCGAAATAGCTGAGGTGCCCAAAATGGGATGAAATGGGGTCATGTACCCCATTTTGAAAAATGGATGAGTTGGGGAGCGTTTTGATTGGATATTGCCCATTTTGAAAAGTACTTGGAACAGGCTCTAAATGATGTGCACCATAGCTGTTTGCGGAGTTTTATTCTTTTCCACATGCTGTCGTTCTGTAGTTTACTTCGAAGTAATTGGTTATACTGTAATACACTGGGTATGAAATGACTATGACGCGCCATGTGTCATACCTGACTCCAGCGAAACCCTAACTCGCTATCAAAGAATAATTCTCTCATATAAACAGTTCCATGTTGTTTTGACCCGAAATGGGAATTAACACATCCGGATACACCTTTTCGCCAGTAGCCCTGTAACCTGGGCCTCCGTCCTACCCCCGGTGAGTACATACGATGTTAAATCTCCGGGGTTAAGTGCATCGCTAGTGGTTAGCTATCGTTAACCACTGAGATGCACTTCACCCCTAGTAAGAGGTGAGGTGGTCTGAGCATACAAAGTTCCATATAACCCTCATTGAAACAGTATTTCGGGTCACAGTGGAACTGCTTTAATGAGGGAATTGTACACTGTCAAATCTGGAAACTATGGGAAAACGTTCAAGAAATCTGGATACCGTTCAGCCAAGACTGAAAACGTTCAAGCAAATCTTCTTCCCGTAACCCTCTAACCCGGGGACTTCGTCCTACCCCCGCGTGCACATATTTCGAAGTATAATGCTAAATCCCTAGTATGAGTTGAGGTGGTCAGAGTACAAAATCATCATCTAACTAGAGTTTATTAGTTTGAACCGTTTTCAGTCGTGGCTGAACGGTCAGATTTGTTGAACGTTTTTCAGGGTTTGCCTGTAAAATCTCGTTGAGACATCAGCGACTTGTGTCAACTTGGGTGCAGTATTTTTGCATTGGCCAATCAAAATCACTGGAAAACACATGGCGAACCTCAAACCCTACTCTTTCGAAAACCTCTTGAATAATGACTCTCGCTATTACGTTACGTTAACGTTAGGGCAATTCCACGGAAAACTCGAAGAATTCTCATACCTACAGTACTATTAATAGTATACGGATAGTACAAATACATATTAGTAGTACTATTAATAGTGATAATTATGGTATCCGGTGGAATTATCCGTATTATATTGTATTATGCGGAATAAAAATGACAGCATTGTGTTCGGCGACCAAGTCGGCAACGTGGCTGCACCGAGCGCAGTCCGTTGTCCCTGTGTCCATGGAGAATCGAAGTACCATGCGAGTGTATGCACAAGACGAATCCCCCATCCGTCACAACCTACTTGACGCCGCCAACCACAAACGGACGTCCAAGGCGATGATGCTTCCCTTGCACATTGGGACTGGTGGAGTCGAGTTGAAAGTGGACGAGTTTGTGCCCAAGACCTACAGGAAGTACGCATCCTCATTGCCCAGCGTACCCGCATGTCCGGTTGTTCCGACAAAGGATATTCCATCTCCCTCAGTGGCAACAGAAATCCCGGAGGAAAAATTCCCTGGTCCATTAACCGAGAATCCAGACATGGAGAGTACTCGCACGTCTGTAAACGTTGTTCCCATTGCTCCTACTGCGACGACGAGCGACCTCCTGGGCAGAAGCGTCCGCAAGTTCTTTGATGGGTTTGGGTGGTATGATGGCAAGGTGACAAGTCGATGGGAATCCCTCGATTACGGAGAACAATTCCACGTGGTGTACACTGACGGCGATTCCGAAGACTTGACCCTCGACATGCTGTCACCGCTCCTGCAGCCAACTTCTCCGATCCGTCTAGCGACAGAACCAAGTGCCGTCAGCCGTCCATGTGTTGCCGATGGTGTCCAGGGCAACGGGGTTGACTTGCCAGCCAGTTGCTCGCTGCCAACCAAAGCCGCCCTTCCTCAAGAGCCTTCCCGCCGTCGTCGAAAGAGTCCGCTACCGGCGGCATCCGCATCCCCAAATCAGCGAGTGACACGTGGTCCATCAAAGGTGCCGTCGCTCCCAGCTACGTCGTCAGTCCATGAGCTTGCTTCGTCGGCGCCTCGGGCGACTTCCTTCCCTCGTCCAGCTGAAGTGCTCGACTTGACCGCATCCGATGACGAACTTGTGTCGTCGTACTCGTCCATGCCGCCTCGGAGTGTCCAACCCCAGTTCCACCACCAGCCTACCCACGCAACGCGACGGTTTACTACCCCAGAATACCACCAGAAGCCTCAAGCCTCATCGCGGCAGTTGCCTCCCGTCATGTCCCTTGGTTTCGGAGCAGCCGCGGCGCCACCACAACGACAGCCCCATCATCCTGTCTCCATGTCGTCACGACTGCCCAGCCCACAACAACACGCGGGAAGCCCCGCCGATGCCTTGCGCTGGGATGGTGGACCGACCTTCCATCAACCAAACCGCCATCGCAAGTTGCCATCTATGAGACGAGTCCTTCGTCCTGCTTCGTCCGACCCCCCTCCCCCTCCACGGCCGCAGGAGAATCCTCGGCAGCCCACCCACCACCAACAACCTTACCCCCCCCCACCGCAGCAGCAGCATGAGCAGAGACCCCGCCATCCTTCTCGCCCCGTAGACTCGGACTGGAGATCCGACGACTACGTCCGCCGAAAGCGCAGCAGCGACGCCTTGTCGTCGTCGTCTTCGTGGCAAGAGCCCCATCAAGTCCAAAGTCGACGCCCCCCAATCGACAACTCGCTGGTTCCACCGCCGAAATTGCATTTCCAACACCGCCGACATGACATGACAGCAGCACTACCTAACCAACGCCCCCAGCCCCTCGGTCGAGCCCCCAACCTCCTCGCTCGGTTGCCATCCATGATGCCAGCCAACGGCGGACCTCCCCCGCCGATAGCTGCGTTCAACGACATGCTGTACGATGCTATCCAACGGGCGACCACTGTCGAGTCGTTTGGCCGCAAGTTTGTACGAGTGTTGCTCGACGATCCGCAATACGACAATGTATACTATTCTTCGCCGTATTCTACATGTATTCTCAACTCGAAAGCACTTTGTATAGTTTATGGACGTGACGAGGCTGAGCGTCCGGTGTGGGCAGCGGCGCTACCGCATGCTCGAGCGCTTCATGGAGGACGTGTGGCTGCTCTCCGACACGGCCAAGCACATGTTCCCCGTCGACAAGGCGCTGCACGACCAAGCGGCGGCGTTTGTTTCCGCCTTGTCCAATGTCCTGCGCGAGTTGAAGGTGCCGCTGCGAGCGCTCCAAGGCCAGTTGACTTGACAACGTTTGTGGTTAGGTAGTTTTGTTTATAGTGTATGGCACTAAACTCCTCCAATATAGTATGGCACTAAACTCCCCCAATATAGTAACGTTAGTAGTATGGCACTAAAAAACCATGTGACTTTTGTGAGTTTGTTGGTTTTGTGGGTGTTGGGTTGTTTTTCTAAGACTAATCGACGAGGAGGGCGGGGGCAGATCATCGTCATCCCATGATGGCACGGCCGACGAGGGGAAACGCGGTCGCCGGCGGCGGCGGCGGCTCCAATTTGACCATCACCACCGGCGACGGGAACGTGCCAAAGCTCCCAAAGTGGATCGAGTGATGACTCACGGCGGGGCTCAGCGTCGCGGCCGCCAACGGACTATTTCCTTGCGGTGGCGTCAGCTCACTACTTGACTGTCCGATCACGATGGCCGCTGGCACGACAACGCTGGTGCCTGGGATGGTTGTCTGGGCGGCGGGTACCAGCGAGTTGGACAAGGCTGGTGGCGTCATGGGGGCGGTCGTGGAGGTAGCGGCGGTAGGCAGGCCGAGCGAGGCGGGGTCGATCTCGCCGTCTTCCAGGAGCAGCAGCTTGGCCGCGTCGCCGTCGTCGGGTTTCAATCCTAAGTTCTCCAACACGCGCACAAACCTGCCCTTGATACGCGGTCGGTCGTCCGCAAGCTTTTTCCGGCAGTCGTACTTGATGCTCTTCTTCCAAATGCGTTTCTTTCGCTTCTCGTGGAACTTCTCCAGGCGGAGCTTCCGTGCCGTCGGCGTGTACGCGCCAATCGTGCGCTGGTGGACGATCGGTTCGAACAGCTTCTTGAACTTGCCATCTGGCGCGCCGTTTGCAATCACCTTGTCCGACGGCTTGGACGGCGACGTCGTGCTCAGCGACTTGGTCGGCGGCATGAGCATCAACCCGTGAATATGCGATTCCAAGTCCGACACCACCGGCTGCGCATGCAGGAGGGATGATGAAGTGGCATCCATCGAGCTGTCATGATCGTCGTCGTCCTCCAAGTCGTCATCCATGTCGTCATCCATGGTATCGTCGTCAAGCAAGTCGTCGTGCTCTCGATGACGAGGGGACGACACCGGAGATGGACTTGTGTAGGTCATCGTATCGAAGCTCATCAACAGCTTCTCGGTCGCATCGCATGCTCGCAGCCCGCCGGCCATGGAGATTCCGTCTGCAGGATATGTCAGCATGGACGAGGCGAGCAGGTGGAAGCATTTACCTGACGCTGTCGGATGGTGATGTGATGTTGGCTCTGATGCAATGACTGTTGCAGGGGGGGCATACGGAGAGAACTCGCGGGCAAACAGGTCTTCGCTGTCGCCATGGGCGCATTGAAGATGCAACGACTGATCTAGTTCTTCATGGACCCAATCGATGTCGTGACCAAATTCCTCCATTCGAAGGAGGCCGCCGTCGGTAAACCAGTTCATATCGCCGTCAAGAATGTCGGCGATCGCCGAATCTGCTCCCAGCATGGCCTTGGCTTGAACATGCGCCGCCTGTGCATGTTGGCTTTGTTGCTTGGCCAAAGGGTCCTCTGCGTACATACCGAGCATCATATTTCCTGTCTTGTGTGGTGAGGTAACTCGTGCGGGATGCTGTTCCTTCGAGATGATTCTGGGACTGGGTGGGAAGCAATTGTGGGTGCTATACAACACGACGCGCACTCGATCCCGTAGGTGGTCACAAGGACGATAAGCCAACGATCAACACGTGTATGGGACGATACACGTAGGGCGACAAGGAGCAGGGACGCTTGTACTTGTCGAAGGTAGTCACTTGCCGCTACTTCACGCCGCGAAAGTGACTTCGGGTTCGAAATGGAAATATGGGCAATACAAGTCAAGATATAACGTAACACGCCCCATATAAAATCTCCCTCCAAATATTATTTATCCCTTTTGATACTAAAGTCCTATCGTTCTTTTTATTGTTGGTTTTGCCAATTAAGTCGGGCCCCCCACCCCCAAAAACTGCAAGATTCGACTTGCACGAATATAGTGCACTGTATTGTGTATACCATGGATCGGTGCTTAGTGTTTATGACTCCATTTTCGATGACAAGGACGATGGACTGAGTCTTATAGCATGAGGCCCGTTTGATTTCAAGCTTTGGACGACATACCGGCCTTCCTAATCATGGTAGACATCGTCGCATGCAAATTCATGATAGACCGGACGTGGGGTGGGCTGCAAGTGCGAACTTCGCCCATCGACAGAAACGCTATGACGATCGTGCATGGAATTTACATATGTCTGTGATTGGTGTATACTCCAAATCTTAGCCAATCATCGTATTTTCACGAATTATCCATCCAATCAAAGAATTCTACAAGTTTTGCGCGACAGGCCCACCTTTTGGTTGGTGATAATGGATCACCCACCGAAGTTTTATAGTATACCCACGGGTTCGAGAATTTCCACGTACCAGGAGAAACGAGATGTGGCTGGGACGGTGTAAAACGCAAAAAACGTCATTTCAAAAATCCCAAGTTGCCGCCATAACCTGGGACTAGACGCAATCGGCGGCACGTCTTCGACGAAGGAAGGCATCGTCGATGCACATTCAAAGCACGTGGGGTATTCGTTTCCTTGGGGAAGCAACGGTCGAGACAGACAAAAGCGCGACCGACACGTGTCACCCAGCCCTGTGTGAAGAAGCTGTGCGACGTTCGTGCTTGACGCAAGACGTTTTATGACGAAAAAAACAAAAAGTGTTGTGGGGGGACCCATGAAATATAATAGTCGGCCACATTGAAGTACACGGTGGCAGTGAAAATAGAAGCTCGCAATATCTTTGCGGGGGGGTTCCATATTTCAACCCCCACATGATAAAGATCCGTGATGTGCTAAGTCCAATCAATCGGTGGCCAATGACAGTCTCATGAAACGTCTCCATGACAAGCGCACCTTGCTCGGCAGTCCGCGAGGGATGCTGGACGAGGGACGGAGTTCAGAGCGACCAACCTGGTCGGTGACATGTGTGTACAGCGTCAACTTCAACACCCACCACGATCAGTTTACATGCCAGGTAACTTCTTCACCAGTGGCCATTCCAAGCGCATAATGTTATCGCAAAATCGCCGGGAACGTTAGCATTTCCACGGCCGGTCGCCACAGGGATATCAAGGCATGATGGGCATGGGTCGGTGCATGTATATATATGGTCGTTCAATTGTCCATACACACTGGGAATGATGGTTCAGTACAAACAGTTGCAAACTCGGCATGCATACGATACAACCTATACGTATACACACATAGCTCTCGTCGAACCCACCCCCTAATATTTTGTATTGTGATTACGTCTCCATGGAGCCATAGTTGTGTCCTGCGGGGTCGAGTCGTCGCCGAACGCTGTTGGGATCCTTGTCATTCCTTCCTTGGTATTCCGTCATGTATTCCTTGCGCACACGCTCGCGGTCGGCGGGGTTGGGCGTCCGGCTGGCGACTTCCGCGGCCTTGATCGCGTTTCGCGTGAGCAGCGGGCTTCGGGACAGCGACGAGCTGGTCATGGCCAGTGACGTGCGGATAGGGGTGTTGGGGTCGGCAAACAAAACTTCATCGTACGTGTGGCCGGGCAGCGGGATCGTGCCGTTGTACACGGCCGTGCCTAGCAACAGCGTAAACATGCCCGCCAGTTCCAAGTAGCTCCACGGCGTCCACGCTTCGCCAAACGTCTTGGGCGTAAAGATGTAAAACAGACTCAAGTCCGTAGCCCACACGGTGATGGGGCGGAAGTTGTCGAGGATGGCATGCCAGATCGAGTTGAGCAAGAACGTGACAAACACTGCAAACACGTTGTAGCCCAAGATGACCACGAGGAAGATGGCGGCAGCGATCTGCGCGGTCTGGTTGTGGGCAAGCATGAACCACGCGTCGTCGATGCGCTCGTACGAGCCGAGGTCGCTGCCAGGTACAAAGTACGCAATCGGGTACACGACGAGGAGCGACATGAGCAGGCCCCACAGCCCCTCCATGCCCACAACGATCAAGGGCGGCGCCGTGTCGATGCCGTCGCCCATCAGCTTCTCCTCAAACACGTACTGCGCCGACTGCACAAAGCAGCTGAGCACAATCATGATGATCCCCAAGCCTGGGTTTTCATTGTTGTTCAACTGCTCCTCCGTGTCTTGGAAACTGGAGAACCCAACCATGAGCGCCGCCAACGTGTTCATGCCAATGCCAATCCACATGTAACGCTTCAAGTGCTCGCCCAGCACCACCACCTTGAGCAGCGCCACAAAGATGATCACGGTGCACTTCATGAGCTGGAACACGCTCACAGTCACGTACAGCAACCCAAGGTTGGCCAAGTACGTCCCCAGCAGGTCGAACGCGGCAGGAAGCGCCAGGACGAAGTACGTTCGGATGGGAATGCGCGACGGTCGTTTGACTGTACAGAACAAGGACGAGTGAGAACGAGTGGTGGTCAAGGAGGTTTGATCGTTGTGCGTACATCCACTGGATTTGCCTCCATTGGCGTGCCATTTGCGATCTAAATGCCAGTGATATGCCCACTGGATCGGCAAGGCGAAGATCATGGCGACAAACATGAGCAGCGTTTGAAAGATAGGTTTTTCAAATTTGCGGGTTTCGCCGTCCAGACCCACGGCGTCGATGTCGTACATGATCTTGGACATCCTAATGAAGGAGAAGTGAGTGTACATCGACTTAACCATCATGCACACGTACAAGGTGGTCCCTGTTCCGGTCAACAGACCTAGCGAGAATACCACGGCGCTCTGAGGTGCGCACGACATGGCTGGATTCGGAATGCAATATTAATCCGTGCACCTTTGCACATCCACAACCCTGCAACGTGATTGGACAACAAAAGGGGCGTCTGCTTCAACTTGTCAAACTTTATATTCCTATCAACTGGGCAAGGCAATCCCCATCGCTTAACCTAGGTAAGGGAACTTGCACATGAATTCCATTTTTCCGCTGCTCACAATGACCATCTATATCTCACTTTTGTCCCCCACTAGCGAGCTGGCTCACCAGGTCTGACAGAGTACTTACTGTACCTACTACTTCAGTACTTCCCCTTGGACTTTCACTTTGCTGCAACCAGTCGATTCGAGTGTGCTTACAGTAATGTATGAACGAGAGGCAAATATTAGCCATCGTTGGCTGTTTCTTATGCATCAGCTCGTTGCATGGTGAGGAGGTGACTTGAGCATACAGGTGGAAGTCTCTGGATGCATGCATGCCATCGCCTGCTGGCGGATTTTGAGGAAGGTCCATGGTTGTCTATCCATGGTTAAAAATAGAGAGAAAACAGTGGGCAAGATAATGTCCAATGAAATCGCACGATTCGAAAGTCTTTTTGTCCAATGGCATCCTTGCATTTCAATTTTCAAACAGGGACGAGAACCAGCACCCGACGAAAGTGAGTGCCATGACGACGATCTTTCGACGTGGATCGTCCTATAAAGCACCGCCCGCCGAAGACGACACCTCCGATGCTTCTTCGCAGGCAGCCAAGGCTATCTCCAAGGGCAAAGGGTCAAAGCAGGCCAAGAAGGGCCTGTCAAAAGCGGACTCTCCGGCTAATGCGAAGCCAGAGAGTCCAGCCCGTCATGGCGTTCAATCGAACCCGACCACGATTGAACCTTCAGCATTGCCAGAAGCCGTTGGATCTCGAGTCGATGGAAAGTCACTGGTACTGTTCAAGAAATGCATAGTCCCTGCGCCACGACCTTCCAATCCAGACACCGCTTCAACCAGGGCGTCGCCAGATCCACAGAACGCAACACATAGTGACGGCATCTCAACACCCGTCACAAGAAAACCTACGACATCGAAGCCATCCAAGGCGTCCAAGTCGAGTACTGTCCCCAGCAAAGCGGCTCGTGCTGGCCACAAGAGCAAGGCGTCGACGAAGAAAGCGACGTCAACATCTAAAAAACTCGACGCCGCGGGCATGAAAGCCCTAGTCACGCTACGCATGCGTGCGACGATCGCGTTCGTCCGGTTCCTTCGAAAGGCTGGCGTCGAGTCTGGCCATGTGCCGTCGTTGGTCGCTCGCTTCTACGACGCGCATCCCGGTTTCAAAGGCAGCAACCTGAATGGCGATCGGCTGCAGCGATACTCCAAGGGCCTCGTGACTGTCGACGCGTCCAACACCAACATGCTTACCGTCCACCCCCTGGACAACCTTCCGCATGGCACGTTCCGCGTCGACGACGTCCGGGAAGTCGACTTTGCCTTTACATTTGCGTTTTGTGTGCGCTTTTGCGACTTTTTCATGTCAAAGTACCCGACGGGGTGCTCTTTTTACACGGCGACCAAGGGATTTTGTGCGCAATACGGTGTCGCGTGGAACGGGTCGCCCATCCTGAAGCCCATGCTCGAGTTCTACTGCCATCATGTGCTCAATTTTGACACTGCCAACAAGGTGACGGTCAGAATAGACGCCGCCCGCCACGTCACTCGGCTTGTGTCGCTGCTGTTTCTCGTGTGGGTGCAAAAACACTACGCCGCCACCAAGGACGCGCCGTGGATCGAAGCGTGCAATCGGTTCCGACGCCAGTTTCACTTGGAGCGCCAAAAGATGAACCATTACGACGTCCTGGGGTGTCCGTGGATGCACCATGTCGTCATGGACAAGTCCAAACCCGTGTGGCGCGTCCATTGGGCGACGTCCGCCCCAGCGCCCCCCCCCAGCTTGCTCAACCTGTTTGTGCAGCACATGCACGTGACTTCCGAGGTACAGGTCCCGCTGTTTGAAGACATGTCGATGTGGTTCTCGCGTGAAGTGTCCGACACCGACGACCGCCCCCATGCCGCCACCGCTCGGGTTGTCGGCGGATCTGTTGCCCCCCGTGAGGATACCAAGGACAATAATGACGAGGATACCCCACAGATCTCGCCACGAACCAAACGTAGCAGCGGCGCCGTCCGTCCGGACGCGTCCAAGCGACGGCGCGGGGACCCACTTGGCGTCATCGTGGATGCCAAGCACGACTTGTTCCAGCAAGTGGCGTACAGTAACGTCGTCGGCCACTCGGTCGAGATTTAACGGAAGAGATTTAAGTTTTGAATTACTTTGCCCCCAAGCCAATCGTGTGCATATACGTCTGGAGCAGCTCGAGAATGTCGGATCGCGTTTCATGTCGGGAAAGACCCAACACCGTTCGCAAGGCCGACACAAAGTCGCGATGGGCGGCTGTGACGGCCACGAGATCCTACCACGTCATGGACGTGAGCCATGGATGACTAAATGGCTGTATATATGTGGAAAATAGTACCACAATCGATGGCGCCATCTCGTCGATGTGCTGGACATTCAACACATGCATGCATTTGAGTAGCGTCTCATGGATTGCACGACCTGGACGTGCCAAATGTGTCTGAAGCGCCTTGTAATCGTGCACTATGAACGATAGTCGACGGGCCAACTGCGATGCTGTTAGAAGTATATATATATATAGTCAAGGTGAAACGTAGTGTACCGAGTCCAGCGAACTTTTGGATGGCCGGTGCTGCGATGCGGAAGTTGTGGCTGCCTTCTACGCATATGTACCCTCCTGTCAAACGGCTGTGCGTTGGGACGATGGGCTGACCTCTCCAGTCGCCGTCAGCACCTCGACGCGCTCGACAAACGTGATCAGCATCGGAAGGCTTCGAGAGAGGCGGCGCACGTGCTTGACATGCGAAGGCAGATCGACCAACGACGACAAGTCGAAGCGATGGCACATGTCGGCCACCATGTCCATGCAGATTAGCCCCGCGCGCTGTCGCAGGTCGTTCGAGAGCTCGTGCATGTCTCCGTTGACATCCAGCATGATATGAGGAGCTGCTCCTTCGTCTGGGGTGTGGACGCAGCGGAGTTGCCGGAGGAGTTTGTCACGTCGCATCGTCGCAGGAACTGTCCCTGGGGCTGGCGTCGTGCCGCGGGCAGGGGTCTCTGGTCGCTCTCTTTGTCCGTGTTGGTTCGACTTGGTCAATCTATCAACCTCTTCTTGAAGAGCTTCGTTCTGCAATTGGTACATCTACGATATATGTAGGGGGTCAATGCAATATGACTTATGGACAAAGTGGGAAATGTCATGACGTGGCAGTACCCTGATCTCACGTCGATTCGGCGTGGATTTGGTAACGTCGCGAAGGTCGTGGCACTCTTCTCGCAAGGTATGGATGGTTTGTTCGACCAGTGGTTAAGGATGAAATGGGAATGCACTCTCCATGGGGACAGAAACACGTGTAAAGGATATCGGACATGAGGCGCTGAGAGTCAAGGACCGTTCGCTGTAGAAACTCCAATCTGCATATCGTTTTGTTGAGAGCATGGCCCACGGATCCACCCGTCGCGGCTTTGACTTCGTCCACGCACGTCTGGAACTACGGAAGTGATGGAGTTACAGTCCCGTAAGTAGTGGAGAGTTGCCGTGTATGCCTGCGATCGAATGTCGTGACCAACAAGCGACTCGCAGTGTTGTGATTCGTTGGCGAAGACGGAGTCTTGTAACGTAGATGCACGTGGGGGGTGCTGCTTCAGTCTGTTCAGTTGCTGTTGCGACCGAAAGAGTTGATTTCTTGCGTCGTGCAGTTGCATCTTCAGCTGGCGGATGGTGTCTTCATACTAACGCACCCCACGTGACGTCCATAATACGACCTGCATGGGGACAGTACCTCCAAAGCCGACTTGACGCCCATCATCTTCGTGTCGAACTCAACTTTTTCAAGTACCGCTCACAATAACTAATCTGCTTTTTATCCAGAGTTAAATATCTCACAATACCAAGGCGGCAGAAAAACAAGAAAATAGTATTAATATTAATACCATTTTCTATTATATACTATTAATATTAATATTAATATACTATTAATACTATATTAATATTAATACCATTTTCTATTATATACTATTAATAGTATATTAATATTAATACTATTTTCATCTTTTTCTGCCGCCTTGAGCCAGGGTATTGTATACTTCGAAATACTAAGTAGTATTACTACGTAGTACTATTGATATTGATATTAATATTGATATTACTACGTAGTACTAGTATATATTACGTGAAGTTTGGACGGATACAAATGAATCAAAGATTGGTTCTCATATCAAGTCCATGCATTTGATTTGGGATAGTGTACTAGTGTACTACGGTTATCACGAACCTCTTGGTTCAAGGGTCACAATTCTGTTCGCCTCTTGAATGAAGCACACATTTCCACTAGTAAGGCTACGATGCCCTTCAGTTCGACTGGACGACGCACTCGACGTTATCATCGACTTTGTACTACTGCTGTATGTAGTCGTTGGAGCCAAAAGTTGGCTCGGACGTGGTCTTTTGCAGTCAACTGACGGCACATCTGTGCATGCCACTGGGCCACACGGGGCAGGGCTGGCGACAGCTTGAGGATCTGTGATTCCACACGCATGTAAGACTTCCACTCGACAATACAGAAAAGCATACATACATACATACATACCCATTCCAGTGCAAACACCGCGTAGCGCAAGGCAGGGACCGAGCCTACCTCGGACCCAAAGTGCACTTCGACCCGAACGAAGGCGTCGATCGAGTGGTCGTCCAGGACAGCGGCGGTGCCCCCATCATCATATTCTGCATCAAGGTCTTCCCATGATGAAATGGACCTATTCGACAAGTACGGCGCCATGGTCTGCAAGATGGCGCGTCGGTGGCACCACAAGGCGTCTCGGTCAGGATACAGCCGCTGGAGCCGCGTGACGAAGGCGAGTTCGTCTGCGACGAGGGTAGTCGCGGACGTCGGCACTTGGGACAGCACGAGCACAAGTACCAGGTGGCGGTGGTTCCAAGCGGAATGATCGGACACGTGGCGGTCGCACCACTCGCGAGTGGTGTCGTGCAGTTCCGCGAGCAGCTGAACAAGTGTGATGAAGCAACATGCGGAATTCGAACGACGTGTACCGATGGAAGCGACAGTTTGGAGCAGATGCAGTATCGGTACGACCAGGCAAAGTAGTTGCGGGGGTGCTCTTCGCACAGTTTTGCGCACAGCGACAGCTCGTGGGCCAACAAGGTCGCCAGCTCGTCGCCTACGAAGGTATGGGAAGTGTACCTACCGCATGATGATGGCGAGTGGCGTACTGGGAAGACGAGGGAAGAGACGATGAAACACCCATCGACTAGGAGGAGTACAGTACGTAGGCGCGTTCATAAGTTGGGTTGTATGTCGAACGGCATACATATGTGTACCGATGGGCCCAAGTGTCGATGCTCTTTGCATGCTGCGTTAACACCAGCCTCGTGAACTTCATCTCGACCTCTTCGGAGAAAACACCATTCGAGATCAACGTTTTCCTACATCGTCATGACCATACATCTTGCTCTATGTGGGTACCCTACATACCTGGCGTTCCATGCAGTGTAAAAGTCTGCACACACAAGCAACATGCACCGCGTGGCGTTCAAGATACCGGGTACGTCGTTTAGATCCTTGGCTCGGAAGAACTTCTCCTTTGCTTGACGGTGGATCGCGGGGATCTTGGCCATAGCAATGCCCAACTTGTGGTCTGCAAGCACGAACGCTTCGTGTTCGTCGTCCAAGTGAACCACACCGATTTCATCGCTACGACGCGATCGATCATCACAATGAGCCTTACTCGAGCGAGCCTACATGCTTGGGTCCTCGTCAAAGAGGTACGTCACCTCCTCCACGTAACTCTGTCCTGTCATCGCACAAGAGACCACGCTCAACCAAATCGGATTTATTGATTGTCAAGCCGTGATAGGTCAGTTGGACAACGTCAAGGTCGTTCGCTGATCCTTTTATCACTTTTCAGTGCATTTCCTGTTATTTTTAAATAACAGGAAATGATGTAACGTTAGTATTTTAATACTAACGTTAGTAAGTTTAAAAAAACTTATACGAATATTAATATTAATACTCTGGAGTACTACTGTTAGTACTTCGAGTAACTGTAATAAGTACAGGGAGTATTAATACTACGTAGTAAGTAATAAACGTTACTTTGAAGTATTATTCTTAACAACAGTAACTGTATTAATAACAAGTACATTATATAATCCAAACTCAATTAACAAGTACTGTATTAATAACAAGTACATTATATAATCCAAACTCAATTAACAAGTACTGTATTAATAACAAGTACATTATAATCCAAACTCAATTAACAAGTACATTATTATTATTAATAAACGTTACTTTGAAGTATTATTCTTAACAACTGCGGAAATATTATCAATATATAACATTTGTAAAAGCAAAACCGCATAACGCTATTTTGAAGGTGGATAGAGGGTTGAGTTCACAGTGTCAGTGGAAAGTCAGACTGACAGTTTACTCGGACAACGGCATACTACAGCAGAAGGACGATTCCATGGCTGGCATCAACACTTGAACCAACACCTGAGTCGAGATACATAAAGTAGTAGTAGTAGTAGTTTATATTCTTTGCTATGTTTAAAACTTGACATGCGACGACTTGGCGGGGGCCGTGCCGGCGTACCCTTCAAAGTCGTATTCGATGCCGAGGGCCTTGAATTTGTTTCGCTTGATCGACTCCTTGGCGAGCAGTCGTGCGTTGTTGGCTTCTTGCTGCTCAAACGTCTTGGGCGCATTGTGTTCCCGGATGGCAAGCTTCCGGTACGGGATCGGGCGGAACGTGCGGTTCGCGCCAATAAACATGCGCTCGTGGCACTTGTCCACCGGCAGCACGTTGCAGCTGAGGCTCTTGTCAAAGAGACGGTAGCCGTCCATGGTGTCGGCGACCACGCGGGCGATGTCGGCTTCTTCAAACTCGATGAACGCATAGTGCTTGGACTTGCCCGACTTTTTGTTGCGCGACACCTTGAGGCGCTTGATGTCGCCGAATTGGCTGAAAAATCCACGCATTTGCTTTTCGTAGAACCCGTGGGGGATGCGACCGATGAAGATCGTGCTGGACTGGGTGGCCCCCGCGCCTTCGGTGGCAGCAGCAGCCGCGCCTTTGGACTTGGCCAGATTTTGCTTGGTCTTTTTTGTCAATTCCACAAAGTCCACATTGGCCTCAAAGTTGAGTTCCGGTTGTTCCTTCTTGGACGCGGGGGTGCTCGCCGCGTCTTCGTCGTCCGAGTCCCACTCAGCTCCCTGCAACTTGGCCAATTGCTGCTCCACGCTTTTCTTGCCACCCTTCTTGGTGGCAGCGGCCTTTTTGACTGGGGCGGCAGCAGCCTTTTTCACAGGGACGGAGGCTTCGACTGCTTTGGACTCGACGGCCACTTCCTTTGCGGCTCCTGTCGCCTTGGGGATGTCCTTCACCACAGCCGACGGCGTCTCTGTCTTTTTGGAAGCAGCTACCTTTTTCGTGGGTTCTGCTTTGGCGGCAGCTACCTTCTTGGCAGGTGCAGCTTTTTTCGCAGGCACCGTGTCCTTCTTGGCAGGTGCAGCTTTTTTGGCAGCAGCAGGAGCAGTCTCCTTCTTGGGTGCAACTTCCTTCTTGGGTGCAGCCACCGCTTTCTTAGCGGCAACAGCAGCAGTCTCCTTCTTCGGAGCGGACTCCTTGGTCGCAGCCTTTTTAGCTGCAGCCGCCTTTGGAGTTGCCTGCTTTTTGGTCACGGCAGCAGGAGCGTCTTTCTTGTGTGCAGAAGCCGCAGCAGCAGGCTTCTTGGCCGCGGTAACAGCAGTCTTCTTGGGTGCAGCGGCGGCGGCAGCTTTCTTGACCATGTTTCAGTTGCGAGTTCCCGAGTGCTTTGAATCCAACCAACAACCATCGAGACGCACCAATGAATTTGCGTGTTGGGCCAATGGCCAATCATACGCATGGATTGAGCGGACCAATCAAACGAGACGATTTCGGTCTGGTATAATTAGGCTGCAATTATCCGGACGACTTCTATTTTTAGCATTCGACGACGAAGTTTGCTTGCAGTTCTCATCAACCTCCGCGCCGCACTGCCACCATGACAAAGACGAGTGGACACAATGGTCCGAAGAACCTGCCAATGCGACGCACCATGATCAAAAGCACGGTCGGCCATGTGAAGCGACCAGCATACGACCTTCCAGATGCGAGAGAAACGGAACATGTGTACGGCTACCCCATCATCCGAGACCCCGAAGATGCCGGGCAAGTGATGGGCAAGTGGGTCCAAGCCACGCCTTCTCCAGCAGTCGAGTCCACGCGCAGCTTTGTAGAGACAAATCGAAGGGCGTTGCAAATCGGGTGTGTGGTCGGGCAGTGGCCTTGGCAGTGTTCTCCTACTTACGATGGATGACATGCGTAGGTGCATCAATGCCAAGGACGTGCGACAGTATGCCAACGAACACCCAGATATTCGAGAAAAGGCAGCTCCTACGAAGAAACAAATCGGGTACACTCCCACAAACGATGTGATTTACGGCATCAAGACAGCGTACGTTGCGTTCACCACTCGGTGACACATGTATTCCTCTGACAGATATATATATATTTGGAACGGCTGGCAGTGCTTCCGAAGACATTCAGATGCTGATCCAAGCCAAACACACCAACTTTCACACTGATGGCCACGACTACCCGGACCTGTCTGGCATGAAGATCAAAGGCGTACGACTACCCTCCTTTTGTACTTGCTCATGTGTGTGATTGAGCGTAGAAACTTCCCCTGCCCCGTGAAACCAAAGCATCCATCAGCCAAGACAAGCGCCTCCAGCTGTTCAGCCAGCCTCCTGAAAAAGAACTCTTCAAAATGTCCAAGTTCAAAAAGATTGGTAGCATGCTGGCCACCCAGCCCGTCTACGGATCGCCATCCTGTGACCCGTCGCCCCAGTACATGGGCAATGACGACGATTCGAGTCCTCAGCAACAAGCCACCGACAATTAGACAGCTCAACCTATCGTGTATGAAACCCCTTTGCATCCCACTGCCTCTTGACTAGTTCGCCACGGATGTAGCTCTCGTCGCGTTCTTAGCTACAGAAAGCGGACATGATCTATACATGCTGCATAAGCACTGAATTGTGCTTGAAAGATATATGTAGCATGTACAGTATTGTATCGTAGTCACCTGCGGCAAATTCACCATGAGCAATAATGCTGACTAAAACTCCGCAACTTTGCTGCAAACTTTTTCGAAATACACTACTGGGGTACGATACGAAGCAGCAGTTTATATGGTATCCTGCATGACAAGCCAAGATCGTCATCATCTGAGACGATGCCATGGATCCAATGGGCAAATGTGAAGAGCTCGTCATTGAGCAAATATTTGCCTAATGTCAACCACCACGCCGACGAAGGCAAGTACAAAACGCATTGGAGTCGTGGAACGTGGGCTTTGTAATTATACAGATTTAATCGAGAAAGGTTCGACGGGAAGGATCGCCGCCGCCACCTTTCTGTCTTCGGCGTTTAAGATGTTGAACGTCGCACACGCATTGAACTAGAGTACAATCGATCAGGGAATGCAAGGTCAGCTTGATATCGTTCGTACCGAATCGACGTACTCCACGACAATGCCGTGGAATTTCAAGTATTCGGCAAGCTCAGGCTCGAGCAATCGAGGAATGCGCTTGCCACACCCCAACACGAGGATTTCTACGACGGGATGAGCCGAGAACGTGTCGAAAACGTGTACGTACCAACGGGGGGGTTGGCGACAGCAAAGATCGTCAAACTCTCCTTTGTGATCTCGTCCATTGTCTGCGGCTTCCACATCTAATACGGCATGTAATGTCATCATGGAGAACATTCAATCGGATGCTGGTGTGTACATACCATCGCGATTTCAGGAAAGACCGCAATGGAACCACGCAAATTCTACGCACGATTGGGATGAGACCCGTTGCAGTCATTGGATGTGTCGCTCACCACTTCGTTCACGACGAAACCACCCTCGTCGTACTCGGTGATGGCCACTTTCTGGGTGTCTGTCATCATTTCCTAACGCGATATCTCTCCTTAAGATCACATTGTCGCTATGCCATATACAAGCGTACCTTGTGCATGTCGTGGCCATAGTTGATCCATCGGACGCTGCCAGCAGCCGCGCGCACCACCTGCCGACGCAGTACCCGCTGCAACATGGCAACTCTCGAATTCGACGAAGCTCTGGACACGACAAATATCCGGTTATAGTATCCGGATGGTTCACTTTGCACACCTTTTCATTTTCTACACTTGGGGACAATGGACTTTGTGCTGCGCTCGCCGGAGCTGTTGCGCGAGGTGTGGGTGTTCCAAGGCGGGCACTACAGCGACATGCTCCCTTTCCTTCATCTCGAATCAATCCATCGTCCAATTTTGCATTATGCGATACGAACTGGAACTGCTGACCTGGACTTGGACCCACTTCATCACCTTCTCACAGCATGGTACGCCGCGTACGGCGTCGACCGGTTGCCACGGCTAATACGTTCAATGCCTCATATGAAATCCATTGTGCTTTGTGATGCAGCTGCGTTCGGCAACGTTCCTGTGCTGGACTTATTGAACAGGTTGGATCCGCTGCACACGTACGTCAAGGACGAACACGTCGGTCTGGCGGCGGCGAATGGACATATCGACGTCCTGCGCTACTTGAATGACTGTCCTTTTGGATGGACGACCAAGATCATGGACTATGCCGCCACCTACGGAGAGCTGGATACTGTCAGGTGGCTGCATGAGCATCGGACCGAAGGATGCTCTTTGGATGCGATGAACCATGCATCGAACAACGGACACCTGCCCGTGGTGGAGTTCCTGCATCTTCATCGACCAGAAGGCTGCAACTCCCATGCCATGGACTTGGCAGCGTCGAACGGCCATTTACAAGTGGTGCAATGGCTGCATGCTCATCGCACAGAAGAATGCACGTTCAAAGCGATGGAGTGGGCGGCGTCCAACGGCCACTTGGAGGTCGTACAGTGGTTGCATGCACATCAACATGGTGTTCACAACACTCCCAAAGCCATGATGCTAGCAGCCAAGTATGGCCACGAGCACGTGGTGCTCTACTTGTACGACCATCATGACGACGAGCCTATGCGACGTTCCGCCATCGCATACTCGGTCATGAATGAAGCTGCCAAAGCTCACCACGACGAGATTGTGCGGGCAATGTGGCTTCATACCAACTTTCAATCAAGCAACCTTCTACGCCGAGCCAAGGCAGCTGGTCACGTTGACTTTATCAAGTGGCTGCGGCAGGACAGCGTTCGAGAGCAAGCCAATGCAACAAACATGACCATTATCGATATTTCAAACGTCCACGTCGATCAAGCAACGGCGGCGCCTTAGATGGGCTTTCGACAACGGAGGGTTAAGTATGTACTGTACAGTCTGTACAAGTGGAAGCAAACATGTGCATACTCTTACTAGGTATGGCCAACGAAAATAGCTGGAACAGCATGATTCATGTGAAGGTAATGTACTGTACTAATAATACTACTAGTACTTCGAAGTATTACAGTACTATTAATATGTACTTCGAGGTAGTGGTATTAATAT